GTTAGGGGCGATCAGGCCAGCAGAGGAGCAGTTAGGGGAGATCAGGCAGGCAGGCAGAGACGATTAGGAGCCAGCAGTCCTGGATTGCAAGAGTCATGTCCGGCTGTGGGATCGGGCCTAAACCAGCAGTTGGACATCCCCCCGAGGGGTCCCGTATTAGAGTGGGTGCAGGCAAGGCTGAGGGATGCCCCCCCCCGTGCACGAATTTCATGCACTGGGCCTCTAGTATGTTAATAATAGTGGAAACAGACGAGGAGTATATTGAGGTGGTATATAGGAACTCTTCATACTCAAGGCTCATTATTCGATGAAGCTAAAATGTCTCTAAAACTAAAGTCTATTAATTTAAAAAATATGGATCCAAAATTTATGAGTATTTTAAAGTGAACTCTTATATGAAACATAAAAAATAGATGATAATAGAGTCCATCACAAAAATCAATGGAATCTCAATGCCTCTTTATTTAGTATTTAGCTCTATTCTTCAGAATCGCTATCACTGTTAAAATCATGTCTTATTGAGTTGAGGCTGAAAAAGTTTGAGAACTTCGATATAAATTATTTTTAAAAGGTGCTCTGAAGGAAAAAAATATTTACTCAAATAAACAGGGAAATTTAGAACTGAGGGTAACTATGCATAATTTACATCAATTTATAAGGCATTAGTCTATGTTTTGCTTGTTTTTGTTACTGTTTAAAATTAAAGACAAGTTATGCAAAAATAAAAAAAATTATTTACAATCCTCTTCTCAATTTCATGCAAAGTGAGATTAGAGAATCTAGTTCCACATTTGGAAGTTCAGGTATGAAATCTCTCAAAGTCTACTTATTTCATGTAATAGTCAAATGCTGATGACATAGCTGAGTGATTGTTACTTTTAACTACCAAAATGTTGGTTTCTGGCTATATTTGGGAACAAAAATATAGAAGCAGCTTTTTTATCAATCATCATCGTTTCTATTTCTTTAGTGGTTTAAGAATCACATGGTGCATTCAAATTCATTTTCTTATTTTATCCTAAAAACGACAATGCTGGATAGATGATATAATAGCCACCCATCCCACTTAACAGATAGGAAAGCTGAGCTCCACAGAGGTCACAAAAATTAAAGATATAGCATGGTGTCGATTCATCCTTTTAATTATCTATCAATCTATTTACCTAATTATGTAGTTAGCTAATATATACATGTGCTATAACAATTGTAACATATATTTGAACATATATGTGTTATATTTTGTTTCAAATACTAATGATCTAGCAATGGATAGAATGAGACCCATTCTGCCTCATTGAAAACTTTTTTTGAGGTGAATTTCTCTTCTACACCAATTCCTCTTTTATGTAAACCAGAAATCTGGGCACATTCCAGAACCTGGTCATGTCTCTGGAGACCTACCCATTCAGAGGAGCTCACCTCTAGTTTAAAACAACCAGTATCCTGAAAGTCCTGGGTTTGAAATGGACTCAGCCTCTTACCAGCTGCATAACCTTGTGGAAGTCACCCTTACAGAGCCTCATTTTCCCCTTCTACAAAAACAGTATGAAGTTTCTCTTTTTACATTGTCATCTTTAGTACATCGTATATAATAAAGGGCTGATATGAAAATCGACTGAACGGTAGAACATCTGGTCGCTATGATGTACACTGACCACCAGGGGGCAAATGCTCAATGCAGAAGCTGCCCCCTGATGGTCTGTGCACTCCCACAGGGGGAGAGCCACTCAGCCAGAAGCCCTGAGCTGGGCTCACAGCTGGCAAGCACAGTGGCAGTGGCGGGAGCCTCTCCCACCTCCACAGCAGTGCTAAGGATGTCTGAAGGACGCTTAGGCCCACTTACCCCAGGGAACAGGCCTAAGCCATCAGTTGGACATCCCCTGAAGGCTCCCTGACTGCAAGAGTGTGCAGGCTGGGCTGAGGAATCATCCCCCCCCCCCCGTGCATGCATTTCATGCACTGGGCCTCTAGTATATAGAGAAAAAAGCCTAGAGAGAACTTCATCTACAACATTACTCTAACATTATGATTACTCCTTTTCAAAATAATGCTGCCTCAAGCTCCAGAATATCAGGAAATTTTGTTTGTTTTCTTCACTGTTGTCACTCCAGTGCCTGGAACAGAAACTGGCTCGTACCAAGTGCCTGCTACATATCTGTGGAATGAATAAATGCCTTAAATTTGCATAAAATTAAACTTTGTTGTAACATAGTACTTCTACATTGTCCAGAATAAAAAAAGAGTAGAGTTCAACTTCTTACCATGAGGCAGGCACACACACACATACACACACACACACACACACACCATCTCATCTACTATGGTTAAAAAGCACATGCTAAAGCCCAAATTTAAATGATGTGTCCTAACTCAGGTGAAGCAGTCAAAACAATAAAAATAAAAACTAGAAGGACTCTATCTCAACATGTAACAATAAGTGGAATTAAAAAAAAAAGTCCCTCCTAAAACAACAGAAAATCCTGATGCATGTGAAATACTAAAAATTGCCTCCACAAATATGCCAGCATTACATACTGCAACTTAAATGGGTGGAGAGCACCAGGCAGAAATTGAATCAAACAGGAGAAATTGCTTACTCTCTTAGAAAGCAGCCTCTCCTCAGCTCTGGGCTGTGGAGATTATAAAAGGCTGCTAACTCTCGTTTTCTGAAACTTCCAACTAAACAGAAAAGCTCGAAATTCACTTTATATGAACTTTCCCAATCTTTAACTGCTGACAACGGATTCGCGTAAATATACTTATAGATAAAACAAACAAACAAACAAACAAACAAAAACCTGATGGACTGGTATGTGGATCTCAGTATGAGATAGAAATGCAATAGAAGGTCAAAGGTGAAGGGATTAAGAAAAAACAAAACAAAACAAAAACCCTCATAACCTCACTCCCCTTTCCCTGTGGTAATGACCATAGACATACAACAGCATGGTCATTACCACAGGGAAATGGAGGTGGGGGAGACAGGAGAGGGTAAAGGGGGAACAAATGGTGATGGAAAGAAACATGACTTGGGGTAATGTGCACACAATATAGTATACAGATGATGGATTATACACTTTAAACCTCTATAACCTTATTAACCAATGTAACCTCAATAAATTCAATAAAAACATGCTAACCCCCCAAATGAAGATCAAAGAAAGCATGTTTACTGAGTGCCAACACTGTGCCAAGCTCTATTCTCAATCCCACTTATTTGATCTTTATGCAAAACTATAACTCACAATTTATGCTCCATTTCATAAATAACAAAATAAGTTATCCTACCAAAAAATATTTTAAGTTGCCCCATCTGATAATATGGATGATATGTTGGGTTGAAATTAATTTTTGAAAACTCTGATAAAATATGTCATATTCTCTTTGAATCTAGTTTTGTATTTCTCCAGTTTCCATTCCAGAGTTATCCAGGAAAGGTTTAACTATGGGGGTAAATCTGATGTTGCATTGGGTCTTGCAACTAGAAATTTTGGGAGATATTTACTCAGTTTTGTATGTGATTTCTGCACCATTGATTTCCTTAAAAATATACAATCTCTTTGTATTAGAAATAGTCTTTTTTCCAATCATTTTAACAACATTATGCTTTATTTTTCTATTATAATTGAGTTAATACTTCTTGTGTAATATAATAATTTTATGTCACAATATTTTACTTATGCTTTCATTTTCCATCTACTGATAGCTATGAAATATTTTTAAATGTAATCTATTTATTAAGATCATTAGTATATAAATGCACTAACATGTATATTGTTAGAAAATGGCTTAATTTTTACCCAAAAGACTTTTTTTAAATCCTGAACCAAGGATATGTTTTGGTTGGTTTTTTTTGTTTGTTTTATTTTGTTTTTAAGAGAGAGAGGGAGGAAGAGAGAGAGAAACATCAACATAAGAGAAAAACATTGATTGGTTGCCTCCCTATCATAGGTACCCTGACAGGATTTGAACCCACAACCTAGGTATGTGCCCTGAACAAGAATAGAACCTATAACTTTTTGGTGTATCGGACAACACTCCAACCAACCAAACCACCAGTAAAATAATTTACTAATAAATACAACTGTTATTGTAGCAATGTTCCAATGAAACATTTTTTTTCTGAAAATTTTCAATAAAGAAAAATGCAAAAATTAAAAGAAAACCTTTTAATGATTCCTGACCCAATAAAAGCAATCCATTCCAGGTTCTCCCTGATAGTTTCTAATAATCTGATAACTTTTTAATCTCAATGAAATTTTAAAGGAGTTTCTTATAATATTTACATTCCTTAATGTAGTGAAGAAACACAAAATAAATTATTCCCAGTGTTTGAATTGATTTTATTTCCTATTCAATATTCACTATTTCTTATTCAACCAGGCCAAGGGCAAATCAGCAGCAAATCTTTTTATTTTTTTCAACTCTTGTTTTTTGAAGATAAATCAATTGTATAAGTTTGTTGGTTGCTTTAATCTGAAATTTTAAGGTAACTTCACATTTCTTCACAGGAATACTTAGAGAGGAAAATCACATATTTGTTATTCAGTCATTGAAATCCCTTCCCTATTTGCCTGCTTTTCCCAGACAGAGCTGATTTGCCCACTTTCACACACACACACACACACACACACACACACACACACACACACACACACACCCCTCCTCTCTTTTTTTAAAAAAATATATTTTATTGATTTTTTACAGAGAGGAAGGGAGAGGGATAGAGAGTTAGAAACATCGATGAGAGAGAAACATCGATCAGCTGCCTCCTGCACACTCTCTACTGGGGATGTGCCCACAACCAACGTATATGCCCTTGACCAGAATCGAACCTGGGACCCCTGAGTCTGCAGGCTGACGCTCTATCCACTGAGCCAAACCGGCTAGGGCCACATCCCTCCTCTCTTAACAACGAATATGGCCAGTGGATTTTCAATCATATGTGACATTTCACATAATGTCTACTTAAGTTGTAATAAAATTTCATAAAGGCTTACCCCATTTTTTGGAAAAGCAATCCATCCCAGGTCCCCCATGACAGTACGTGAATCCAATAAATTCACTGAAAGAGAAAGAACACAAAACTGAGTCAAATGTAACAAAAATGCATCACTATTTTCAGTATTATTAAAAGTGCATATTGCTACAAAACTAAAATTAGATTAAGTATTCATTATGATAAATACAAGAGTTATAATTTAAAGAAAGAATTTCAATGCAAGAAAACAAGTTATTTTGAATTAACATTTAGAGCAAAATTATATAAACAAGTCATTACCCTAAGTGCCTTTTTTGTCAAACAACTATAAAGAATTAAATTAAGAAAGAGAAAATATGAAAAATCCACAGAAAACAGTGAAAACAATGCAGTGATTTTTCAAGCTCTAGGCTTTGGGATTAAGCAAAAGCCATAAAATTGTAGCTGAACGTATTGTATTTTCTTCCGGAAAGCTGTTATGAAGCAATTAACAAATAATTTACATTAAACAGCAATAAACTATCCCCAAGCTTGTAACATTTTTGTGATATTAACTGAAATCTGTAACCCAAATTGCAAGTTTAATTAAGAAATAAATCTACACACCCTTAACCAAACCAAGGAAATCGTAGCAGCTCTCAGGGCTCTTGTAACAGTTATGATTCCACTGCATTTCCAAGCTATCTTCTACTTATATATGACCACAACCTCCAATGTGCTTCTTACAGAACTATCAGCTACATTTTTGAAAGACAGACATCATTTATGTCTAGATATCATCAAATATTTGGAACTCCCAGGTGGAAGTCTGAATATCATCATTGCAAAAGGAAACCACACAGTATTTATACAGATGTGCATCCACATCCCACACACTCACCATGTTTATATTTTGGGAAGTTCATCTACTGTCCCCCCAAGTTACACCAGCTAAAAGAGTACTGTGTTGCCAAAATGCTTGAGACCTGGGTCACAGATCACTAGGTTTCCAACCTATTATGCCTAATCCAAATGGGCCTCCCTATGCAGCTGAAGCACATTCAAGGAGCATGGCATGTGGATCCAAAAGGAAAACAACTATGTTATCCCAGTCAGAGGTGTGGAGCTTCCTTAAACTAAAACCAAGAGCCAGTATCTTGAAATGTCAGTAATTTAAAAAAAAATGATTCTGTCCAACCGAAGTGGCTCCGTGGTTGAGCATTGACCTATGAACCACGAGGTCATGGTTCAATTCCCAGTCAGGACCCATGCAGGTTGCAGGCTTAATCCCCAGTGTGGGGCCTGCAGGAGGCAGCTGATCAATGATTCTCTCTCTTCATTGATGTTTCTATCTCTCTTTCCCTCTCCTTTCCTATCTGAAATCAATAAAATGTATTTAAAAAATGATTCTATGTGCAAGAGGAAAGCCTAGGTACTAAAGGAATAATAGATAATAGGCTGTTATAATATTTCTATAAGAGAATATAAAACAAAATTATTATAACCAAGGAAGTTAAAATCATAGTTTAAATAGAAATTTTCTACACATCATAGAAAGGGTACATTTAATCCTTACTTTCCATCATTTTATAACATCAAACATATTTATACACTAAAGTTAATACTTTATAATATTAGTAATATAAAGATAAATCAAAAATTTTAAATTTTTATAAAGTAGAAATATACTCAATACACACACACACACACACATATATAATGTATGTGTATATTCACTATATGTGCCTATTTTCCTCAAGTTCTGAGCTCTTTAACTATAAAAGTTCATACTTATAGAATGGTTGTGTCATCTTTAGTCTACCTACATCAACTTGGCTTTAGAGAATAATAAAATAATTTGTGAAATTATTTTTAGAAGAAATTGACCTAACTGAAATTGACATAATTTAAAATGATTGTTTAAAACAGAAACAAAAAATCTATTCCACCTCCCACTGACCTTGCAAATCCTCCAGTCACTCCACTAAATCTATTTTTTTCAGTTAGATCCATACTCTTCTCTTTTTATTCTGTTGTTGGCTTTTCTGACTTCCACGGGAATAAGGCTACAGTAAACTTAAATGTCCTTGTTCTCATTTTGGCTTTTCTAGGACACTTAGGGTTGTGTCTAGACATGATTAAATACCAGGGTAGTGCAGAACCTAAACCATTGTATTTATTCATCTTAATTATTCCTTTATTTCACCTTTGATACTGAGCAGCAGAATATCTGTGTACTAGTAGACTAGATAAAGTAGAGAAAATCAGCAAACTAAAGGCCTTCTACTATGATGGCAATCAAAGTGAACTTAATACCATGGAGGCAAACTGGTGTGCATAGGAATTATAGGAATTCATAATCAGCCTGCATGAGAAACACAGCATTCCTAGTAGACCTTTTAATAATATGTGGGTTTTGAAATATTCGTTTTTGCCAACAGAATTCCAGATTTTTTTTAACCTTAGTTACCCTCACTTAAATGAATTTTAATCTAAATTACTATTTTTACTCTTTTTTGGACTAAAATATATGTGTGTGAAAGTAAATGAATGAACTGAAAACATTAGCTGGGCTATTAATACAATTTACTGATAATTTGCAATATTGAAATACATTATTAAATGCCTGAAAATAATCACAATAAGAATCTATATTATCTTTCATATGATGATCTTGTCAAAAGGTTTTCTTCAGATAATATTAGAACGTTTATAGGAAATATGTGTATGTTCCCACTACTGTCTAAAATTGCTTTCCTCTTGGAAATAGATGATTTCATAAAGTTCACAATGCAAATAATATATTTATATATACCATTACTAAGTTTGAAATTGAGAAAGTGGGAGGAAAATTAGATGTTTTAGACAATTCCTTGCAAATTTTTATATTATAATTTTGTGAGCAAATGGGATATGATGCCTCAAGGAAAATAACTGAAATTATGACATATTACAATATATGACCATACTATTTATCTATAGATCACCATATCAATCTCTATATTGGTATATATAGGGAGGGGGAGCTCTCTTATACCTCTAAGTTTTGCATATGCCGCTTTTACTCTCAAATGTCTCTCTCCCTTTTTGAATTGCTAAATCTGCATTTGTCCTGTAAAACACATTTCAGGAACTGCCTTCTCCTGGAAGCCATTTCTGATCATCCTTTTCCTACAGGTATTCATGCTGAATATTCAATTAACACCTATTCTTATCTCCAAAACACAAAATACACAGGATTGTATTATTTCCTCAAAATAACACTATTTTGACTTATGCCTGGGAACCTAGCCTATGCTTGGAACAGCTAAATAGCCATCTTTCTTATGAATGAATCACTTGGTCTGTGGGCAGGTCTGGATTGGGTGTCTGTATGATCACATACCAGTGGTTCTCAACATGGACATCTGGTAATGTCTGGAGACGCCTTTGATTTTCAAAACTGGAGGGTGGGGTGGTGGTAACTTTTTAAGGTACATAATGAAATGTTATGTTGTACATTTAAAACTAATATAATATTGTATATGAGCTATGCATTAATAATATATTTTTTAAACTGAAGGGTGGGGGAGTATTTTGCCACTGACATCTCATGGGAAGAAGCCAGGCCTGCCCTTAAGCATCCCTTAATGCACAGCAAAACCTCCCGCACTCCCAGGAAAGAATTATGTGGCTCAAATTTCACTAGTGCCAGAGGTGAGAAACCTTGCCACCTACCTATGATGCAGTACTATCAAACCTCTAGTTCCACATCTTCATTAACAAAAGTTAGTATATTTGAAGGCATTCCATATGAATCAAAATACTACTCCAATTTAATAAAATAAAACTAATAAATATTGAAGTCTCACTTAGCAAAACAGTATTTTTATAACCGAACTTCTGTAATTTTTTTTCACACAACCAATAAAACTGTTCTCATTTATGTGCTCATAATTTCTCAACATTCATGACAGCATGCATGAAAGAGCACTATGCCACTGATATTATTGCCTACATTTCATCCACTACTTAAGGTAGTTAATAAAACCAGAAGTTTAGGATATATATAAATTTTCAGAAATTGATTTCTCAATTTCACTACCAAATGTATTTATTTAATTAATTTATTTATTTTTAATTTTTATTGAATTTGTTGGGGTGACCTTGGTTAACAAAAATGTATAGGTTGCAGGTGTACAATTCTAGGGAAATAGATGATTTCATAAAGTTAACAAAAATGTATAGGTTGCAGGTGTACAATTCTATTATGTATTATATGCACATTGTATTATGTGTTTACCACTCCAAGTTAAGTCTCCTTCCTTCACCATTTATCCCCCCTTTTTCTCCTACCTTCCCCCATCCCCCTTTCCCTCTGCTAACCACCATAGTGTTGTCAGTGTCTGCAAGGTTTGTTGTTTTTTTTTTCTTTGCTCAATCCTGCACCTTTTGCACCCAGTCCCACAAACCCTTCCCTTCTGAGAGCTGTCAGTCTGTTCTCTGTATCTATGAGTCTGTTTCTGTTTTGTTTCTTAGTTTATTTTGTTCATTAGATTCCACATATAAGTAAAATCATATGTTACTTGTCCTTCTCTGACTGGCCTATTTCACTTAGCATAATGTTCTCCAGGTTCAGCCGTACTGTTGCAGAAGGTAAGACTTCCTTCTTTATCATGACTGAGTAGTATTCCATTGTGTAAATGTACCACAGCTTTTTGTTTCTCCCATTGATATTTTTAGAAAGTGTGGAAGGGAGTGGGAGAGACAGAGAGAGAAACATCCATGTGAGAGAGACACATTGATTAGTTGCCTCCCACATGAACTCCAACCAGGGCCAGGGACTGAGCCTGCAAACGAGGTACCTGCCCTTGACCAGAATCAAGCCCGGACCGTTCAGTCCACAGGCTGACCCTCTATCCACTGAGCCAAACCAGCTAGGGCTACCACAGCTTTTTTATCCACTCATCTACTGATGGGCACTTAGGCTGCTTCCAAATCCTGGCTATTGTAAATAACACTAAAATGAACATTAGGGGTGCTCTTTTGAATTGGTGTTTCAGGTTTCTTTGGATAGATTCTCAGAAGTGGAATTACTGGGTCAAAAGGCAGTTTCAGTTTT